ATAATGTTGAGAATGAAAAGCAGAAAGGCCACTTTCCGTGGCATTAACGCTTAACATATTACCGTACAAATTAGATTATACATATTTTAGGAACAGGAGCATTTACTTTGATAGGAGCTTGGGAGTTCCTAAAACCAAATACTGTACAGGCTGACTATCTGGATTTCTAACACATTTTTAAAAACATGCAGGAGACCACATCTTCTGAAACCTAGACATGCAATGGGGTGCTACTAGGCCAGGCACCAAACCTCACTGCATGTCATCGCAACATCACCAAATTTGCAAACAAGTTGACATATAATTGTTCGCTATAGCTAATGTTTACTTGCCAATGTGTTAAACCCTTAAACTGAGTTTTGTGGGTGGTTGTGGCTATAAAAGAGGAAGGCAGCCCCAAGGGAGAAAACGCTGCATCTTCCCTGGGCAGAGCAGCTCTTAGCAATAGTTCTAATGAACTCGGCTATGTTGTTATATGGATAAAGGAGGAGCCATATCATTTACATAGATGGGGATTAGCAATTAGATAAAAAAGATGTTTGAAGTTAAATCAATATTAATTTTATGCAGATGCTTCGCTTGCTCAAAAAGATGTTACATACAGTCTTCCTTGAAGAAATGAACACATGACCAGTGAAAGCTTTCTTTGAATTATGAAGTTGCAGTGATCTGTGAATTATTAAAGACGAGCACTTGCTCAGCAAAGCATTCAAAGGGACATGGTGCAAGTGTACAGGCTTTAACAGTGCACTATAAATGCACCAATTGCTGCCATTCTATCGAAAGCTTTGCCTGTTTGATCATTTAAAACATTTTATTAGGCATATGCATTAAGACAGCACAAAGCAATAAGCCCTTGAACTTTGTTTTAAAGTAAGCCTATTGGAAGGCTTCATGCACCATACAGAATCTTGTACATTTTTCTTATCACTTGCGTTACAAGCAAGCATTCAAAAAATAACTAGTTTTAAACAGTTATCCTTTTTCTCCAGGACCCTTGACCACTAGTGACAAGTCTGGGCCAGGTCCGCTCAAATCTGTGAACGCTACCAAGCCTTCCCAAGCCAATCAGTGGCAGTGGTTTAGGCGGTGCATTCGAAAACCTGTTTGTGACGTATAGCTGTGGTGTGGGAGATGTGTCTGATGCAACAGATTGGGCCGGGAGGAGGGGGTGTGTCAGTCACAGTTTTGAGAGGACTTTGGTAAAATTAGGCAAACTGGGTTAGCACCAAGCCAAGGCTCCTGGTCCCTTAAACTGTCTTCAGCTGAAACCCCTCATCTAGGTACTAATGTACCTGCTCCAAAGTCAGCAGCCTCACACATTGTTTACATCATGGACAGCAAAACAATGTGGCACCCGCACCTAGGCAGTAACATAGACTTGGGACGTTGCTTCAACAGTAAATTATTCTCAATTCATATCCAATGAGGCCCTTACACTATATGTTTGTTGGTAAATATAAAGCAGATTGTAAAGTGATTACCAAGAGGCCTATTCAGTAAATCAGTGTCTTTAGTGGGAAAGCATTTGTCTTTAGTGATCACAGCACCGGATAGAAATTTGTGTTAGTTTTAACAGATGAATACTAGGTTATTTCTGGTTGATTGCTATGGATTAGTGCACATTGTATATAATTGTAGGATAAAAAACAATCAACAACAAAATATTTGCAAGCAAAAAACTGACAAACACTACTAAATTATGCCATCGAATTACACTTTTTTCCGGTCACTTTGCTAAACTCCAGACAAACAACTAAATACACAAAGGTAATACATACAGGGCAGTGGTTTTAACTTGCAAAGGATTTGTATTTCTGTTAATCCTGTATCATTTACAAAAAATCTTTCCCACAGCTCAGCCCTATCCCTAGCAAGGGAAGGTACCTGATCTTTCTCTGCTGCAGTTTCATTTTTACAGCACACTGACGAGATCACCTCTTTCTCACTCTGATCTTCTCTTGCATCAGCATGCTTCTTGCACTGCACACCTGAGGAACTCATTGTACTGCTTCTCCCTTTCCCTCTCTAAACTCTGCTGTACAGACTACAAGGTGTTGATACCATGTTACATTCAAAAAAAAAACATTAAATGATGTATTAATGATAACAGAGCTGCAATATTTGGGTGCTTAGGGTCTTTAAAAAAATCACACCATCTAAGTATACTGTGCAACCACAAGGATGTTAAGATACTCTGCAGTCATGTAAGTAAGTACACCCTGTGGCAATTATTCACAGGTAAATGTGGAGCCCCGGAACATATGAAGCTCCCCTGAAGAAGCTTAAATGCGAATTGCGTAGGGATGAGGGATGAATCATGTTGGGATGAATTTTGATATACATACCTTGGAGACTATACAATGAATGGATCATTTGGAATAAATCATGGCTGATATGTATCAGAATTTTATTAAATACATTTATGTATTTTGGGCTACCTACTAAGGAGGGATGAATCATGTTGGTTAAAATTGGGATATTATATACTGACACAGCCGGCTAGATTGTAGATTAGTTTTATGTTTCTCTCAAACTACACACACGCCAGAGGCTGTTAGACATCACAGTTGGAATGTTTTGAATGTTGTTATACAATTGGTCTTTGATCTGTTTGCCACTGAAAGTGGAATTTCTCTGTACAATGCCGGACCCCAATGTGTTCACATGTTGTTGTTTGTAGCATATGTATCAAGCTCGTTGCTATAACTTTGTACTGTCGGATATGTCAGTTAATAAACGAATTAAAAAAAATAAAAAATTGGGATATTATATCCATTAATGTATGTAACAATGTTATTTATGATTTTTATCAACTAAAAAATGTCTTTTTTTTATGTACAATAAATTTGATATTTTTACGCATGGTTCGTTATACATCTCTCCACAAACCCTTTCTTTTACCGCCTTTTTTCTGCATATCCAAGCCCTGAAACAACATAGCACCCCCAAGCCATAACATTTTCACCTCCACTCTTCAAAGGTGGTATGAGATTCTTCTCCTGAAATGCTGTCTTTAGTTTAAGCCAAACATGTCTGCTGCTACTGTGCTTTGATGAATCTGTCCATAGCACATTGTTCCAGAATGACTGGCCTTTGCCCATAAGTTCAATTGCAAACTATAGTATGGCTCCAGTGTTCTTTTTGGCCAGCATTGCTTTTTTTCCTAGCACACCTTCCATATAGGTTAAATTGGTGCAATCTGTTTCTAAATGTAGATGCATGCACTTTGACACCAAGTGTTGCAAAAGTTACTAGCAGATCCCACAATTACATTTTGGGGGTCTTGTAGATTTCTTTTAGCATCAAGGTTCTTCGGCTGAGTTTGCTATACCAGCAAGTCATGGACAAATAAGCAGTTGTTGGAAATCCACACCACCTGTAGAATATTTTTCATACAGTAAATGATTAATATTAAATAATTTGGTGATCTTTTTAAATCCCTTGCCAGTCTTATAGGCATCCACAACCTTCTTTTTGAAGTCCTTAGAGAGCTCTTTAGATCGTGCCACAATAACACCACACACATTAATAGCACAGAGAACAGCAGACCCTAGATATTTGAGGTTTAAAGTTTTTTTTTTTTCCATGTGACAAATCTGCATTGTAGTTAATTTAGATTATGAGAACTAATGTTAATTTTCATGTGTCATTTGTGCATCACCTTTATCTGTTTGAAGGAGATCTAATATTTGCCTGTTCAAATATACTGAAGAGTCAACAATTTCCATGGCGTGTACTTACTTCTTCATATGACTGTGTGTTCAATTGTATTACTAGAATAGAGGCAGATGGCAATCAGGCTTTTTTTCCAGCTGCTATGTTTTTTTTCCGTGATGAGTTCTACAAGGAGGATGAGGTCAGGACACAGACTGTCAATCAGTACAGCAATTGCAAGCCATCTGCCTAGCATAGGCAAGGAGCGGACACATCTCTGATGAGGATCCAGGGAGTTTTGTTAGCAGACATATTCTAATAGCATTAGAAGTAGTTTTTGCTTGCTGCTGTTAAGCCTTCATGACATTGTATTTGCAGTTACACAAAAGCACTAAGGAAAAGCTAAAATGTATACAGTAGTTGGTGATGTGTTCACATGTCTGTTGTGATTCTAAGAATTATACTGTGTACAATAGTATTCAAATCAGTGTCTTAATCTTTTACCATTGCGAGTATTGAAACCCATGTATTGAAACCCATGTGTGAATCAGAACAAGTAAAATGATGCCATATTAGCAAAATAATAATAATAATAATAATACTACAACAACAACAATCATACACACCTTAAGTGCATCCCCCTCGTTTCCCTCCATTACTTCCAGGATAAGTGCAGCCAGAATATTAAACCCTTGACAATAGCCAACAGACTTGTTCCATCTGGCATATGCCAAAAGAACCCGTTTAAGTACCACTCTATCCTGTTCTGCCTCCTGTCCACAGTAGGAGCTGCAGCCAGTCCTGTGGAGGTCCTAAAAAGAAAAATATACATTGTAAAAAACACAAGTTACAATTAAATGTATATAAAATCGGAGACAAAGTTGCTGTGTTGCAAAGCAGGCACATATTGCAGGAATGTATATATACACACACATACTGAATATGCAGTACGTGGACTACACTAAGGCTTTACAGCTGAACTCCTGGCACAAAAACCTTCATTTAAATATACATTAATCAATATCCATGAAGGATATAAATTCACTTTTGTGCACCATATGCCTCTGCAAACCCATTTATTAAAAGCTAAGTTCACCTTTACCAGAAACTGGCCCAGGCAGACAAAGGCCCCAGTAGTTGTAAATACTCTGCGTTTTTAAAAATACAGGTCAGATGCCATTGTTATACCTGCTGGTTATATGTGTTCCCCAAGTAGCCTGGACAAAATACTCCCCACGTGAAATCATTACGTCCCTATTTCCAGGACACATCAGCAATTGCCGCTCTCACTTTTTTGTTCGAAATTAACACATGAGCAGCGTGCGCGTGTTCTCCACCTATGTCAGCAGCGGCTGAGGTCAGCATTGCTGGCACAGGTAGAGAATCATCCAGGACATGGGGACGTCAACATTGGGAGTATTTTGGCCAGGCTGCAGGAAGAACACATACAGCCTGTAGGCATGGCAATGGAATTTGACTATATATATGTAAAAATGGCGCACACAGAGCAGCGTCCAGCGGGGAGGAAAGGAACTGTCAGGAGCCGAGCGGGGCGGGGAGGAGAGCGATGTGAGTGTGTCACAGGAGACTGAGCTATCCTCGCACACCACCCCGCTTAGCCTCCTGCACAGATCAGGAGAGTGGTGGGTGGGCGGAGACAGCTGTCAAATGAGACCAAGCTCTCCTCCCCGCACCGCCCGCTCAGCCTCCTGTGACAGTGGGAGTCAGGATGAAGAGGCGTATACAAACATTCAGCGATCGCTGAATGTTTGTAAGTAACTGAGCATAACATGAGTTACTATGTATCAGTTATGAATGAAGGGGAAGTGATCTACATCACTTCCTATTCATTCATGATTGTGTACACAGTATCTCATACTATATGCACAATATATGAATTAACTGGAACACTCAGTATAGTATAGAGGATTTCTGTTCATTCAGTGCTTGGACAGCAGAAAAAGAGATTGAGGACTCTGTGTCCTTAATCTCTTTTTCTATTGCAAAAGGGAAATATTAGGGGTCTGTTTTGACCCCTGATATTTCCCTAAATCCCCCAAAAGTAAAGTAAAAATTTAAAGAGTTTGAAAAAAAAACCAACATTTTCAACTTCGGCCTGAAATTTTATTTTCCGCTTCGGTCTATAAATTTCATTTTGGTGCACCTCCAGTTAAAATGTATACTCTCACATTAAATGTTTAATATGACCTTTATATAACAACCTGCTCATGTGGTTTCTTGTAGGGCCTGCAGCCTCTTGTCACTGTGCTTAACAACCCCCACTACCAGGAATGCAGCAGTGTCTGCAATACCTGGTGTACATATCTACATCACTCAAATGGTGATGTTCCTAGAACGTTAGGCTCCGCACAATAGGGGCATTTTAACAATTGGAAGGTCTAATGCTTTCCATCACCATCGGTATGAAAGAGAAGCCTGGCCATGTACAGCTTCAACTTTTTTCTCCATGATCCCCATTTACCCAAAGTACTTACTTATGCAAATTCTAACCATAGCACAGAGGGTCAAAAACCAATGAGGCCACCCACCACAATACAGGAGTGAAGACAAAAGGAGGGACCTATTTAAACAGTTCCTCCTAGGTTTTCAGCCTCCTATTGAAGCAGCAGCCTTCCACATAGTGAGAGATTAGTGAAGAGTATTACCTTGACAATTTGGATTCCCATTGAGTCATCATCAGGATTGCTTCTTTCATTGAATGTAAAGCGCATAGTTTTATCCCAATCTATAGAGATGCTATGTAAGTAGTGGTCAGCAAGTGTCAGCCATACCTGAAATCAGTAAAATAATAGAGTCATTGTGGCTTCACTGCACAAGGTAACAAAGCCATTTTTAAAGAAATATCCACGCTACCATTTATATAATGGAAAAAAAAAATCACTTGCTGTCCTTACTTTCAATACAGTAAACTGATGTATTTAAATGTTAACAAGCACTTACTCTCCTCCTCCACTCTTTAGGTATTCCAGTGGGTAGTCTGGCAACAGCTTTGAGTGCATCGTACCACTAAAAATACAGAAAACAGTACTATGAGTGTCCCACATATTTACAAGCTCTTATAAAAAGTAATGATTAAGCCTCTTAGGATAATAAATTATTTATATCTGACATTTTTAAATAATGAGCTACAATGTTTTAAATGTATAAATACCCTTTGAAGATACAGTAATGTATCCAGTGCTTATTAATAGGTTACCATTCAGTATAAAATACAGAGCACTTCCAAACTGAATGTCTGGAGTATAGACTCAACCACTACATAGGCAGAGGGTTGGTCTATAAAAAGGACTTTCTGTAAAATTATAATAGCTTTTTATCGCTTGGGTTATACCAAAAAACCCCCAACCTTCTATTCTGTTGGCTGCAAAATATTTAACACGACTCAATCTGCAATGCTCTCTCTCAAACAAATACACAGATTAAAAGGTCCCAATCCAACCCAAAATTGATAGATATTGAAGACAATATTGCATCTCTTGTGAGTTACAGCAATGAGACCTTTGTGCCTGAGCTCCCAGGTCTACACACCTGCTGCAGTTATTACTATGGAAGTCGAAGTTCCACTTTCTTTGCTTTTGCATTATTCACAATGCAACAGGAGGGCTGGGAACTTCACAAAGGTTTATGAGAGTACTGAAAACTCCATGGTAGCTGGAAACAGAGCACGGGGCAGGAAGATCTCACCACTCAACAGCTAAGCACACCAGACTTTACCTATAACTGAAATGGCTATTTTGGGTGGGCCTGTCGTTTAACCAACAACCCACCACAATTTAAGAATTAAAGCATATGCAAAGTCATTTTTGTAGATTTGGATATAGTAAAGAACGGTTACATTTTTTTTTGCTGTCCCATTGGGTAAATGTCCCTTTACTTTCTCTCCTGATTTCTCATCACAAAGGTCACCAATAGAGAGGGTGAATTTCTTCAAAAGTGATACCAACAGCAGGTGTTCCAATGTCATCCAAACAAAACAAAAAAGTATTGGATTTGGATACACAGATATAATCTGTAGTCCTCAAAAGAACACTTGGACATGCAGTAAATTTGAAAGATGTCAGCAATACACCAAATAAAAATGTAGACTTTATTGTACCAGTCTACACAGTAAACGTGGCATAGTCTAAAATGTACTGCCCCACCAAGGCTCCTGAATCAATGCTGGGTATATAAGATATGACATGCAGTAATTTACTAATTAGATCAAGTATGGATAATCAGGTTTTCAATAATCAAGTGTCTGGAATAATGTTACTATGCGATACAAATGTCACTTTGAGCCCAGCCGTGGTGCAGTTAGGGCTGCAACTATTATTTTCCTAAAATGATTAGCTGGGCGATACTTTTTTTTCCGAATGATCGATTAATCGGATAAAATACATTAACTACCATCTGTTATTTAAAATACACAAATTAAGTGTTACAAAGTTTATATCAGAATAAAATGTAGCACAATCGTCGTTTTCCTACGTAGATGAACCCAACTTATGTTTCCATCAGTATGCGTGCGTTCGTGAGGACAGGGAACTTTAAAAAATGCTTTTGTTATTTTACTACTTAATTTTTTTTACCTAACTTCATTGCTATCACATGGGGGGCTCACAAGTCCCCTATGTGAAAGCATGTTGGAGGTGGCAGGTTCTCTTTAAAAGGTGACATTAGGGGTCTATTAGATCCCTAGTGTCACCTTTCCACTTCAAAGAAGCTATTCAAGCACACATGGCACTTGAATAGCTTCAGCCGGGTAATGACTGCTAACGGTGGCAGGATTCCACAGCCAGCAGCTGAATGTAAACACAGCAGGCAGTGGGCAGGTGCAATAGCCAGCCTGATATTGGCTATTTGAAATTGCAGCAGCCAACAATAGGCTGTCAATTGCACCCACCCACTGCCTGCTGTCAATCAGCAGAGGAGGGACCTGAAGAAGAAAGTTCCAAGTTGAAATAACCAATAGCAGGCTGCCTATTGCACTCAATGTTGAGTCGCAGCGGCGTCGGCCGACAGCCGATTTTCTCCTCCCCGCTGGGTGCCGGTTTCAGCGGGACTGTGTCCCTCCAATCCCCGCCGCCTCTGCTGATACAACCAGATGAGAGCTGCAGGGATCAGAGGAGAGGGGACACAAACCGCAGCATGTAGCGGGCTGCCAGCATGGAGGAGAAAACTGCAGAGTGGCAGTTAAGGGAGGGGGGGGTTTGTGGGAGCACTCCTCACCACTAGGCACTGGCTGCAGGGGTCTGTGTCCCCTGCAGTGGGGATCGGATCGGAGAAGACAGAGAGACGGTGTAATGCCAGTTCCAAGGAGAGAATTAGGGGAAGCACACCAACTAATCGATGAGAGTCATTGACAAGCCTCTATGCAGCTGATAGGTGGTCTTTCAAATAAAAAAACAACACTAGTACTATAAATTATAAGTCAGCAGTGGTTTTGGAGATAGTATACAAATGATTACAGGTCATCCACATGAAAACTTGCCTCATTGCTGCATTCTCTCAGGGAATAATTAGGACCAAAACATTACATTTTTTTATTCAATATGGGCAATGATTGAAGTGTTGTTGTTCAATTACTCAAAGATTTGTCACGATTTGTACAGCTAAATAGGTTGTTATTGAGCACACTGAGCTCCGAGGCTGAACCATTTACCACAATACAGATGGTGTTTTGAAATTGGGCTCCTTTCATCTATAAATACCCATAAACGGTTTTGCCAACAAAGACAGCAATATTTTTTTAATTTTCTATTTATTAGAACTTACAGCTGTGTCCTGCATCTAGGATGCTATGCTTACAGCTTAGCCACTAAAACTGCTGTTAGATAACAGTACAAAAGGAAAATTGTATCTAGCAGGGTTCAAGATATCAAATGCGTTCAGTCGGTCCCAAACACAGATTTACATACAGAAACTTGCACAGCATTACCTGTTGAAAACCGTTCTGCCCCAGCGAAGGTTCAAGTGTAAATTTCAATTTGGTGTCTACCCCTGCAAAAAAAAAATATATATATATGTTTTAGCTAACTAAGAAAAAAAAACCAATAAAACACATGATGGTAATGCAGAGAGCATTTCAAGGCTATTCTCTATTTTAAATGCATGACCGAAGACTGCTTTTGCTAGGTGAGAGGTGAAACATGATTGTCTCATGAGAGGCATGAATGTGGAGGAAGGGTGGAGTACGCTGTCCAGTGCTGAAGAGCTGCTCATCACACCGAGAACTGTGCATGGATTTTACAAGGGCTGCCTGATGTCATTATCTCCCTTCAAAGCACAGATTCACTGCTAAACGTCAATTCGTAAAAGCAACAGGCCTTCCATCTATGAAGCATGATTGGAAATAAAGTAAATATCCCTGCTATTGTTTGCAAAGCTGCCATGTACATGCAATCTAACCAGTGGTAGCACAACGCATCAATCAGCGCTCCCTAGGAGATTCATACCAGTCATATGCATCATACAGAGGAGAGCCCCATCTGCTTCTGCAGCCTTCCTACACCTATTTAACATGGAGAATCTCTTAAAATAACTAACTTTCAGGTCTCAGGAAACCCCTGCCATTACTTACTATATCTACAGCTCGCAGTACATTAACATCGCATTACATGAGGGGAAGAATGCTTCTTACATTGGTGGTCATTGGGAAGAATGCCCCCCTTACACTGGTGGTCATTGGGAACAAGGCTCCTTACTCTAGGGGTCATTGGGAAGAATGCTTTTTCACATTGGTGGCCATTAGGAAGAATGCATCTTGCATTTGTCATCATTGGAAAGAAGGCTGCTTATCCTGGGGGTCATTGGGAAGAATGCTTCTTGCATTTGTGGTCATTGGACAGAATGTTCCTTACCCTGGGGGTCATTGGGAAGAATGCTTCTCACACTGGTGGTCACTGGGAAGAATGATCCTTGCATTTGTGGTCATTGGGAGGAAAGCACCTTACAAGGCGGGTCAGTGGGAAGAACGCTTCTGACACTGGTGGTAACTAGGAAGAATGCGCCCTACATTACTGCTCAATAAAAAAAAATGCTTCTTACCTTGGTGGTCATCGGGTAGAATGCTTCTTACATATGTGGTCATTGTGAAGAATTCCCCCCTTACAGATAGCTAATCATCAACCAATGATCATCTAATCATTGGTGTCAGTGGTTACATATCCAGAAATTGCTCAAAGAACCCCTAGAAACCTCTGTGAGAACCCTAGGGTTTCATGGAACCCTGGTTGAGAAAGGCTATGCTGCTGTCTGCAATGGATTTCTACAGAAGAAAACAAAGCAACTGGTGCTGAGCCGATTACTAGTACATTGCAGAGTTAAGCCAAGATTACCTACTCTTTCCACAACACACCGGCAGACAGACCTAGATCCTCCTACCTTCAGGAGGTGGACGATGTCCCTATCATGCCCATGACACCTTATGACTCACTACAAACCATAGCCCGTTTCAGCAGCAGGACTCCCAGCCTGACCTGAAAAGAACCCCAAGCCTGGACCACAGGAGGACTGCTGATCCATGCCGCTAATTCACCTGGCTCCAGGGTGCAGAGCAGTCGGGGTGCTGTCCTGGCGATGCAGTTCCTCTTCTTGAGCACATTGCTGAGAATAGTCCCCACTCCTCCAGCATTTTGCCTCTTCAAGCATCTTCCCCCTCGCCTCAAGCTGTAAGTTAGTTTCTCTTGTCTCATCTAGGAGTTCCTATTCAATCCTACAGGCACGATGACAGCCGATGATTGCCGTAGCCCTTTTTTTTATTTTCTCTAAAGGCGGCTGGTATCCATCAATGACGCAAATGCATCTGTTTACCGACTGGGAGCTCTCCAGCCTGTGTGCAGCTACCCAGGAGGATCTCTACGGAGTGGGATGACGGATCTGCCTGGTCACGATGTCTTCTCCCACACAAGAAAAGAAAGGTCAGCAGCAGAGCAGCTTGAGTGCCATCAGTCGATCTCCAGAAGCTGCCTTTTGTCGAGGAAATCTGCAGTGCAGAGGCAACCGAGTGTAGATGCAGGAGTGAGGAGGGACTGGGGGAGGAATGCTCCACCTACCAACACTTATATCATCCTTCTGCAAGGGATCCAGCTCTTTCTAAGGTTCCATCATCTCACTCCCTGATCAGATCTACTATATCCAGCACTGGGTGACTGCAAATCAATGGCTGACATACACAATTCCTCTAGAAAGACCAACACAGAGCACGCACACACCTATATGTCATCATCAAGGATGGAAGGATAATGGACTGAAAACAAACCACAGTCATGTGCCTACTGAATCAATAGACAAAGTAAATAATGCTGCAACACTGCAGTAACCCATAGCAACCAAATCTGGTTACATGTACAGCCCTGAAATCATACACATTCAATTTTACCTGGATCATTAATACAAGCATGCAATCAGGCTTGGTTCATGCTGTTGCAATGGACGCATGAAAATGTGTACTTTGCATGTTGGTGAGCTGTAGTGCCATTCATACTCAGCCCTCATTCACACCTACAATGTAGGTGCGTTTAGAGATTACTGCATCAGGAACTTGTGATTTCCTACAGCAGGAATCCCAAATCTGCCGTTTACAAGTGGTGACAGCAGCGGCATTTGAAAGCTGCAGAATGCTGGCACACTGCATGTATTTATATGTGATATGATTAGGAAGAGATCACTTTCCCTGGACACACAATTGATGTGATTGTGATTGATTCCTAACCGCATGTATTCGCATCACTTACAATTACATGCGGTGTGCCAGTGTCCCGCTGCTTTTAAATGCGGCCACCGTCATCCGATCATTAACTTGATTTAGGATTCTGGCTGCAGGAAATCTCAAGTTCCTGACACAGGAATCCCTAAATGCACCTACATTGTAGATTTGAATGTAGCCTAAATGGCACCCCAACATGCAGTGCATGTCCTTGCTAACGAACATGCACTGCATCACACCACAACACACATTACAAATACATTCCATTGGCTAGAATATTTATTCCAGACACTAGAATGAATTTAGATGCATACATACATGTTTGCACACCTTTAGTCATGTAAATTATGCCAGTAAGCGCATCTCCAAATGCAAGTTTGTGGCATTTTATTTTGCTTAGAATACAGAACTAAACTCCACAGTGTGCCTGAAAACAATGGCTATAAAATATAGCATTAAGGGGCATTTTTCTGCACGAGACCTAACACGTTACGGTACACTGCAAAAAGAATAGTACATGCACTTTTTTTGTGCAATTTGGTGTAGTAGGCAGCCCATTAAAGTTATTTGGCTGCCGTATTGCAATGCATGTTAGCATGCAGAAGAACACACATGCAGCACAACAGTGTGAAACCAGTAACAAGTGGAAAGTTTGCTCTAATTGTACGTGATAATACAGTATTCAAAAGAACTATGTGCCAGAACCAATTACCATAGCACATGTCAGCTACTGTATGGGGATTGTGGGATAGTGACCAATGCATGTGTATCACCGCCAGTCAGGAAGACATGCTTTTTTTTTTTTTTTTTACAGGAAATCTAACGTGCATGCACATGTGACAGCCAATGGGAAATCCAGATGGTTGCTTAGTATTTCTCATTGTTGCGGACACGTGAATTAAAGCCGCAATCAGCAGAGGGCCAGTTGGCCAAAGCAAAAAAAGGGAATTAAACATATCCAATGTGGAAGCGAGCAGATCCTTCACAAAACTGCATGTGATGCAGAATGTAGGTAAAATAATTTAAAGCTGAAATCCAGCCTTACCTTTGTGTGGCACGTCTTCTCCTGTGTTGAAACAGAACACTCAAACCCCTGCAGACTTGCATCTCCACAATATAGCCCTTCAAAGCTAATCAACTATCTGGCCCACTCCTTTATTTCCTGTGTGAACGACCTCCATCATTCAGAAATCACTTGTCCCCCTGACAGGGGCATTGCTAGGATTGTGAAAGAAGTGAGGCACCTGTAACATGCAGTGTGTAGGGCTCAAGAGTGTACAACGCAGAGTATAGGGCTCAGGAGTGCACAACAGATAAAGTGCAGGGGCCAGGAGTACATGATGCAGAGTGCAGGGGTTGGGGTAGTGTGTAACACACAAAGTGCAGGGGTGTGCGGTATACTGACTGCAGCAGTGTTAATTTTGACTTCAGTCGACTTTTAGTCGACTAAATCTCCAGTAGATTAAATAAACCCATTAGATTAAGTTGACTAAAAGTGTAATGCATTTTTAAGAGGGTCAGCAGAGTTTCCAAACTCATTATATATTCCTGGAGTAAACCTCTATTAGAGCTAAACAAAAATCTAAAACCTCTTAACCTGTTATGACTTACGATTGTTGGTCCACATGGTTTACAAAGGGTCTTGTTCTCATTGGCATCAAATGTAAAATGCATCAATACATCTGCCCTTCTCTTTCTCCCTGTCGTTGACATGTCTGTACAGCTTGTGCAGCAAATGTTTGCTAGCTGGTGTTCCGCTGTGTAGATCAGTAGGTTATTATTCAGTTGTTCACGTATCTCCCTACTACAGGTAGAGCTCAGGGAACCGAAAGTCAAATGCAATAATCACTCCCAGAATTTGTGTTATGTTCCCAGAATTTTCATTACATTAACTTCGCTATTACTTAGTTTTTGTTTAGTTTTCATCACTAAGAAACATGCAGATGATGAAAAAACAAAAACAAAATTAACACTGGACTGCAAGACCCAGGAGTGCGTAACATATAGAGTGCAGGGCTCAGGTGTATGTAATGCATAAAGTGCAGGACTCAGCAGTGCTTAAAGTGCAGGGGCCAGGAGTGCATATCACACAGTGCAGGATTCAGGAGTGCGTAACATATAGAATGCAGGGCTCAGGTGTATGTAATGCACAATGTGCGTGGCTCAGCAGCCTTCCAAGTACAAATCTCCCCCATCTCATCTGATGCAGAGGCAAGTCAGAGTGAGGGCAAGTCCTTCCGAGGGCTGTGTCATGTGACCCGAGCTGAAGGGTACCCTCAGCCAGCTCTGAACT